TCTAATGTTCGGGGAAGTGCTGCCTGTTGATCGATCTGAAGCAATGTGCGAACATTGAGGCATGCCAATCTGAAGGAGGATCGAGGGCTCCAAATGGAAGCCGATGAACTGGGCTTGACCGCTTGCTTGGACATGGGCCTGTTGACAGGGCAGGAATGACGCTGCGCGGTCACATGTGAGTTGAAACTAAAAGACAAGCGACTATTGAAAGGGGGGATAAAAGTGAAGCTGGAACGGGACGATATTGGTGAAAAAGCGCAAGAGGGGGAATAAGAAGACGGGAACTCTTGAGCAGTAGCATCCAAACCCCTATCCACCCTGCCAGATGCAGCAGATAGGGCACCGTTGATTATCCTCTGCGGTGGCCAGAGCATCAGAAATCTGTTTGAAGTGAGGTTCATTGTATTGCGTGGGCAGGATACTGTCAGAGTGCCCAGGCCTAGACAGGAGAACGATTAGGGTTCTCAACCAAAACCTTTGGTTCAAAAACCTGACCGCAAGGCAGCCGGTTTGGCGTTGGGCTGCAAGGAGTCCGTTTAAAGGAATAAGGAGACACCCTCATACCAACCTTCAAGCTGGAGGACCAGGAGGCTGAGTTTGTCTGGCCTCTAACTATTGACCAATCTGGTATGAGTGGCGCTGAAGGTGCAAAAATGCACCACCCATTATAGCTCAACGGATCACTGAGGCACACAAACCATCGCACCACGGTAAGGTCCAGCCTCATGCGATGGATATATATATATATATATATATATATATATATATATATATATATATATACCGGCAAGGCATTTGATTATGTAGAGAATTATGCTTATGTACCAACTATGTCATATATACTCACCAAAGGAACCGGATGCCCACATGTAGTTGAAAACTTCAGCTGAAGTGAATGTTACCAAAGCGTTATAACGCGTCCCAGCTATCTCGACTCTTAGTCGAAACGAACGTTCTTCAGAGTTAGTAACCCCACTCGAATTCGGAACGTTGCGGGTTAACGTGACCTGGCCGTCGGATGTACACGCGACTTGGGACTGGTGACGGAGAAAACACGTAACCTAGCGCTACCGCAATGACACCCGAACGGGAAAGACTGACAGGGACATGAGATGTCACATAGTGGTAGTGTCCTGAGGAAAACTCAGTTAGTGTTAATGTGGCTTTGTGTGGTAACTGCCCTGCAGTGTTCTGACGAGGCTCATTGCAGCTTGCACTAATAGATGCATCAGCGTTCTGAGTACAATTCAATTGGTTCACTGTGGATAGGCATCAAACTGCTAAGGACGAGTCGGTTATTAGTTGCGCAGTGTAAGTCGCCATAAAGTGAGGTGAGCTCGGTGAAATCTGCGCAAGTTTGGAGACAGCTCTGCAACAGAAAGTCTGCCCAGTCTGGCTTTTTCAACACCTTCGGAAAAACTTTGCGCGCACGTAACTCACTTCACTGACCGGAAGGTATCAGGGAAGGTCAGTGCGCGGAGAGAAACTACCAGAAAATGTTATAATTGATTTGTGGTATTTGTGTAATCATTTTCATACCATGGGTCCTTTAAAATATTTTCGCAACGCAGGCACCCCCTAGAATCCTTTAGGGCCCCCCAGGGGGCCATATAGCTCTCGCTGAGAATGGCTGGTGTAGAGAGCTCTACCTGGGTGTCAGAGCTGGAACACGGTGGGTTAGTCTAGCGCGCAGGCCAAACTAATACTACTACCACTACTGCTACTACACAGTGCTAAGAGTGGTGAACGGAGAGGACGGTGGTGTAGCGTCGATGACAATATCGGACACGACCCGATCTAGAGAGGCAGAGTGATCACTGATCTCTTAGTGACCACCCCAAGGTGGATGCATGAAAGCGATTTGAGCTACGTTTACAGAAATGGACTCGAAAAAGCAACAGAGAAAGAGGACATTATGGTGAGGGGAGTGTCCATAGATGTCTCCCTACTAGTAGCCTGTTTGGTAGCGATGAAGATAGAACAAAAGTGAATTCTGCCTGCTGCGATGAATTTAATAGCATCATAATGATTGATGCTCCTGACCCACTGAATCGCCGGTGAACCTCAAGTTCGCGTGAGAAGACCGTCTATCTAGCCAGGATTAAGTAACAACTTATTAAACAGAATAGTCTAGCGCAGAAATTCAGCATCAGTGGTTGATCACAACAAGTCGATTGACCGTGGCATTTGGGTGCCGTCGTTCGCACAGCTCTGTAGTTCTGATCATCACTGATCAACGGAGTCTACCGTCGGAGAATCCTCAAGAAAGATTTACGTTTGGAATGTGGCAATTATAGAGATCTCAGTCTGGCCGCAACGCCACCAAGTTACTTGCTGCTGTCGTTCTTCACAGACTGTATGGTACTCATAAACGCCAGATTCGCTAGGAGCGAGGTGGGTTTCGTCGAAAACGAGGTTGCGTTGACCACTTATTCACTACAGGTAAGTTGTTGGAGTACCGCCGCTTATGGTGACGACCCACCGTGATCGTGTCCCTTCAATTCTGTGGAAGGATGTGCACACCAAGTACGTAAGTGTCATCATCGTGGTTTACGCGGCCTTAAAATATCCTCAGCGGTGTGAAAACAAGGTCGCACACTATCACCATTCCTCTTTAACTTCACTATCGACTTACAAGGTGTGAAGTTGCATCCAAATGATCGACTTCTTGACTTGGAGTACGCCGGCGATATATTTCTCGTTTGTGACAGTTCCCAAATGTGCCAAGCAATATTGGACAAATTAACACAAGTTATCAATCATATCGCACTATGCCTTGCACCATCAAAATACAGTCCTCCAACATTGGCACAGGTCGCGCTTAGTAGTGGTCAGCTAGAAGTTGTCCACGTAGCTATGTCAACGCCTAGGGAATATGACTGCAAAGGGAAAGCTAGTGGTTCCTTTGCTAACCTACGCCAACTATGGCATTGGTGCGACATCCCTCTCTCCCGGAAGAGTAGAGTTTATCATGAAAGCCTTACGTCCGATTCTACTGTGGGGTTGTGAAACCTGATTAATCAGATCTAAAGACCTGAAATGGTTTGTTACGCTCGACCACCGCTGTCTTCGCAGTTTAGCTTATGTTTGGTGGGAATACCATTTGAGCAACGCAAGTGTATAGCGTCTTGTTTACCACGATTTCGCCGTTTTGCAAAATAGTAAAGAAAGTATAACAGTTCCAAGTTGGATTTGGAGAACACGCTGTGTGGTTGGATTGCGACAAGCAACCTCTATTGAGACGTCGGTTCCATTTGAGGTAGACCTCGAAATAATTTGGAACACTGGTAGCCCAGCTTGGTTGCTCACCTGTTGATCGTTTTTCCGACCTTGATTAAGAAATCGCATACGTTTCACCACCATGCGAGGTGGCATCTTCAGTGCAGTAATAGGCAGTGTGTAATGCTGCTTATTGAATTGTCAGTTCGTCATCCACGGGCAGGTGACTTTTGAAGGTGGCGATTTCGATTTGCGCCACGTGATCTCTGCCCATTTGCTTCCACGGCTGAACCACGTCTTGCGATTCGCCGGAGATCTTTCTTTCGGAGTTGGTGGTACACGGGGTCAATGTCGATGCGCATGTTGATCGAATTATTAGAGGAGTACCATGCTTCTAGGAACTCTCTTCCTTTCTGTGTTGTTGTTTGAGCTAAAATCACTATTTGGTTCCAATTGAAGCTATGTCCCTCCTCATCTACATGCGCTGAGACAAGAGACGATGCATAATGCTTTTCACAAGCCCTCTGATGTTCTTGTATTCTTGTGGATAATTTCCTTCCTGTCTGCCCCACATAGTTCATTTCACAATTATTGCAATTTATTTTATACACGACGTTTGTTCGTTCTTGCGCATTCCTAATATCCTTTGGGTTAGATAGTATTTTCGCAAAGTAGCGGTTGGCTTATGAGCGACCACGATGTTGTATTGTTTGAGCAATCTGGCAGTCATTTCAGATATGCTCTTCATATATGGCAAAACGACCCCCTTGCTTGCATTTGGTATCGGCTCAGCGTTCATAAATTTATGGTTTAAACATCTGCGGATGAAGCTGCGTGGGTAGCCATTGCGCTCGAACGAACCGAATAGGTGAAATGATGAAATGTGTCAGCTTATACGTCGTAACGGCGCTTCGCTGCCGCGCGACCACCACCAGTCGCGCGCGGGCTGAGTATACCGCGAGGACGCCCACCCCTACGCGGATTCGAACCGGTGACCTTATGGTTGGAAAGCAAACGTGCCGACCACTCGGCCACCGTCCGACGAACCGAATAGGTGGCACAAATCGAAATCGCCACCTTCAAAAGTCACCTGCCCGTGGATGACGGACTGACAATTCAATAAGCAGCATTACACACTGCCTATTACTGCACTGAAGATGCCACCTCGCATGGTGATGAGGTAGACCTCGTTCATTCCGATCGCAAGGACCGCAATCGAAATGAAAGTATCTCGGTGTTGCTCCTCCCAGTATTGTGCGATGTTTTCGTTGTTTTTTCTACCTCTCACTACCATCTTATTGAATTTTACTGTTGTAAGGTGTTCCCCACATGATCACTTAATGTAGGAAATGCTGATGATGAAGACGGAGCGGATGGAATGTGCCCTGTTGACAATTTCCGCCGAAACGGTTAAATCGCAGTCCGGTAGTTTTCCGCGTGAGTGACGGCAATCTGACAGCATCTGGTTGCGGGAATTTCAACGTGTACCACTTGTATCTCCTTACCTACCTTGTTGTAATCCCTACTCTGGCAGACTGTGATTGGAAAGCCTTTGAGTGGGATTGGGACAACTCTCTCAGTTGCACACATCAAGAACGTGCAAGTCAGTGGGATATAAGCCGCCGGACTACATCGCATCCGGCAACCATGTCATGTTAATCATTGTCGTCCCCGGTAGTGGCAGAACCGTCCCGCGACAGGAAAAATCATCACGTTCATATACAACGAGCAGATTTAACAATGCGTCCAAAAGGTTTGTTTATGAGACAACATCTGGCCAACTAACCTTTACTTTTCGTCTCTGTGCCATTTGTCATTGTATTCGAAATCAGACCGGTGATCGGATCAACGACAAGTTGGTGTCCAGGGGAAAGGATCGTCCCATTAGCCATCAGAGTACCATCGGGCGCAGATGAGACTGTAACGCCTCCACAGGTCGAGGCAGCCGCTGCCGCCGCTGCAGCAGCGGCCTCTGCTTTGCGCTTTCGTCTACGCTCCGCCTTCCGCAGACTTTTCGGATCGGGTTGTGTGACCCGGAACTCCGTGTAGTCAGCGAAGACTACATCGGAGTCGGCCAACTCGGATAGCTCTCCTCGAAGGAAGTCGCGCAACTTGCGTAGGGCCACAAAGAAAGGTAATTTGTCTTCGGCACGAGGTAACTGTGCGCACCGAGCACTGGAAGATGGCATCACGAAAATGGTCTGCAGTGGGGAACGCATCAAAAACAGCGATTCGTATGAAAATGTTCGGGATACCACCGAAATGCAGCAGACAACAAACGTGGAGTAGGAAGATAGTGTGTAAAATGACAGCGGTATGGACGGCATTCCTGGTTGTTATGGTTGATTACAATGAGCGCGAAATATGCCTTTTATAAGTGCGTGCAGTGCTGAGAAATGAACAAAACCATCCGGGGATAAAGTGAAATAGTACGTGGAAGGCTGGTGACAGCTGCGGAGCATTAAAGGAGTTAGAGCGGTGAGGAATACGCAGTTCATTTGCACAAATTCGAGCACTATGCGCCTAAGGTTGCATGGGGGAGGCGCTCACCACTGTTCCAAAAATCAACCTGTACAGAAACAGCAATTTCTCAGTGAGGAAAAATGAACTAAGCAACAATACGCAATGTTAAAAGGTGGGGAAAATAGATGGATTGGAAAAGAAAGTTCAAAAAGAATCCACACTAGAAAAACAAACCTATTCTATTCACGATAGGTAAGATATAAATGCAAGTTATCTATCGAGAAAGCGATATGCAGTCAACTACAGAGCCGATCATTCAGTACGGTGATAGGTAATAAATTTTCACGCCTACAAACAAGGTTTGGCTTTGACTATTCTGGTTGATTGGAGTTGGAAAAAACAATTTGTCCACCCAGTTTTAAGATTAAATTAAAAGACATCAATTGAGCAAATGGATGCAAGAGACGGAGCTGATGGTTGAACTGGGCCGCACGGAGTACACTCACTAACATTCCTGTGCAGAAGCCGAATCGGGGGAGAACTATGGCCAATTGCGAAAAGAAACAATTAAATGGCGAACAGCATTGGCGGCCACGTAAAACCAACGGCGAGGAACTAGAGGCCATGCCATCGCTTCTGGCATTGCGTATCGCAATCGATTTGGAGCTTCAGAACCAGACCGATCTCGCTGAATATTAACCTCTGGCCATTCACATGTTGAATGGAGAGCAATTCCGAAAGCAGCCAAAATCGATCGGCCTCACGATAATACGTGGACCCTAACCCACCCCACATGTAGCAGAAAAATGGGGCCCCAAACAGAAGACAAAACTAAGTTGCAACGGTCGGGGATCGGTGTCATTTGCCTAGTTCCAGATGCTGGGCGATACGATTCCCTAGACTGCCAGGCGCGTTGCATGATCAGTCTGGCTAATTTCACCGGAATGTAAATGTCATTATTGGATCCCGTCGGAGAAATTGTGGGGGCGTAGACGATATAGCCATTGGGGGGCAGACTGGCTTAGTGGGCTGACGCGCAGCACTGCAAACTTTTTAATGTGCATCGTGCCTCCAAAAGAAGCGTAATGTTGAGTGGAAGTAAGAGACATATCACTCAGCGCTTGCGGTGTAGGATTGGCCTGTCGGTCCATATATAACCCCATCAATCATATAATAATAAAAAATAATAAATAATGTGTCAGCTGTACGCCGTAACGGCGCTTCGCTGCCGCGCGACCACCACCAGGCGCGCGCGGACAGAGTATACCGCGAGGACGCCCACCTCTACGCGGATTCGAACCGGTGACCTTATGGTTGCAAAGCAAACGTGCAGACCATTCGGCCAACGGCCGAATCGTATTCTTCAAATTCCTCTATAACGAAATCATGTTCCTCCTTAGGGCAGAGCAGCTCACCTCATCTTTCTGTTCCATAGACAAGCCGCCGAACCCGCTCACTGCTCCACGCGGTGTTCCCCACATATGTCAGCCAAACTGCGAAGGCATCAGTCATCAAACTAGCCTCTTTACATTTGGCGAACTAATGGGCCAAGTTTTGTAACCGTACACTAGGGTCGGACGTACGGCTGCATTGTAAACTCGACGCTTCATAGATAGTGATGTTGCCCCGGCTCCATAAGTGGCGAAGGTTAGCCAAAGTTCATCGAGCTTTGCTATACGGTTCGCGACCTCTTCTTCGACTCTACAGGCACTGATACAACTGCCTAGGTAGTTGAATTTCTGAACGAGTTCTACCTCATCCCCTCCAAGGGTCAGTGCAGGAGGCAGTTCTTGCCCTTTGAGGGTGCAAGGCAAAGCCCGAAGCGGTTGACAGTCAGTGCTAATCTGTCCAGAGCCGCTTGGCACGTTTGTGAACTGTCACAGATGAAGGCAATGTCGCTAGCATACTCCAAGTCAAGAACTCGTTCATCTGGGATTAGCTTCACACTTTCGTGTCCAGCAAACGCGATTTCCAGGACTTCGTCAGTAACCAAGTGAAATAGGAAAGGTCACAACGGACATCCATGTCTTACACCGCTGGAGATATTGAAGGGTGGCGACAGCTTTCCGTAAGCTTTCACTCTGCCCGTGTTACGCACATATAGCGCACGGATATTTACATACTTCTCGGGTACACCTTTCCTGAGTAGTCAGTCCCTAAGAGCAAATGGAGCAACTAAATCGAAGGCAGGTTCGATGTCAAGGAACACGAAATAGGTGGGTCGCCAATATAAGTGACGGTGCTGCAACAACTGACGTAAAGTGAATGTGTGCTCAATGCATGCCCAACCTTGATGGAACCTGCATTACTCCTCACAAATCTGGCTTTCACAAGCGCCAATCAATCTGTGACGGATGACAGAGGCAAGTAATTTGGAGGCCATGGATATCAGATTGAAACCTCTATGGTTGCTGCATTCCAAAGGTGTCTCACTTGAAGATCTAGACAATAACAGTTTCATGCCCCCAGGAGTTTCACTAATAACTCGTGTTACTCAACCACAAGAGCAGGTCTCCCGAGTCTGAAGGATCGGAGGAAGACCATCTGGTTTCGCGGCCTTGTTCAATTTCAGCAGTCCGATCTCACGTTCAACTTCTGAGCAAGAGGGTGCTTCCACACGTCCGGTTGACTTTCGAACACAGAGCGGGAGTAGATACCAACTCTGAGAAACTACACCTACTGTGATGAGCTCAGTGGATAAAAACTCAGAGAGGTATATTAAGCCCGCAGGACTCGAACCATACAAATTTCAGAAAGGGACGGGTTCTCTCTGGCAGATTCTTAATGGACAATTAAAACCACTTGATCCAATGACCGGCAGGGCCAATGGCGATTTTTATGAATAAACTATCCGCATGTATGAGACTGTTTCAATACCTAAAGTACTATCAAAACACATGCCTTTGGGATAGTAGCAACATAAGTGAGGAGACTGTGGAAGGGCTAATGATAACAAGGGTGTAGGCTTGATTACTACAGCGATAGTGACTATTTGTTCCAGTTATAGATGGGAACAAATGTGAACAGTGATCGGTCCCCAGGGACACCAACCGCAATTCACCGATTGTTGCCCAGACTGAGTGAGCCGAAGCTATCCGAGTTGTTCCGCCCATAGTAGTACCAACTTACGCCGGAGCTTTTCGGAGATAGGAGACTAGGTTTCAACAACCAAGGGAAGGCTATGTGAATTAGGGGATATGATGCCGAAAAACTATGTTGGTAGAAAATGAGTTCAGAGAGGTATGAGAGCAATCGGTAGGTGTAGGAGCGGTCGCCAAGCGACGACTAGGTCATAAGGAATGAAGGCCCTTAGTTCGAAGGTTGCCACGGTTGGAGCCTCTAGACTCCCTGGCTGGGGTCTGAAAGACAATAAACACGTTTGGCTGGATACACGTGTTGACATGACTAGCAGTCGGCCTCAGTGGCGTTTGTGTTGTATGTTCGCCCCTCTTCCTCTCGCTCAGCCTCGTCCTTCAACCATGATCTCATTTCCTAGGCATAATATTACTTTTTCTGTAGCACAAGAGCCAGAACGATGTCTATACGTTACTGGTGGCTCTGCTGGTATGTCTCTGTTGCAGGCTATTTTTCTGCTTTTCTTATGTACTGCGGCACAACAGCTGTGGTTTGC